CACTAAACTCAGAACTATTAACAACTGGAGTAGGTTCAGTTTGGGTCACCAATTCACAGAAAGGATGTCCTGGAGCTGGAGAAAGTCCAGAGAAGGGCAACCAAACTAATTATGGGGATGGAGGACCAAAGCTATGAGACGAGGTTACTAAATTTAAACATGTTCATGCTGGAAGTGAGGAGATTAAGAGGGGACATGATTTTGATGTACAAGATGTTTGGTGGTGATGACAACATAAGCAATAAATGTTTTACAGTAAACTCCATAACAAAGACTAGAGGCCACCACCATAAATTGGTGGAGAAAAGATTTAACCACAAGGGGCGTAGAGGCTTCTTCTCAGTTAGAGCGGTTAGGTTCTGGAACTCGCTGCCACAAGCAGTGGTATCAGCGGAGAGTATTGAATCATTCAAAAAGCTTTTAGATACCTTCCTCAGAGACTGCAACATACAGGGGTACAGGTACCCTTAAAAACAAGATCACACGGGGACTCGCACACACACATACACATGCAGAATCACACACATACATGCACTAGGTTGAACTTGATGGACCTGTGTCTTTATTCAACCTCAAATACTATGTAACTATGTAAATGTATCTTATTTGTGTATCAATACATAATCGAACCCATCACACTCCTGACCGGAAAGAAGACCCTCCCAATGTCGGTGGGTGCCAGAGTGACTCCAGATGCCTCGGCGAATCAAATGCAGTTGGTAGACAGTCACTCGCACTCCAATTTAATTCTTAGTCAGCCTTCTTTATTGGCCATGGCTGGTGTAGATGGCACATCTCTGAAATGAGAAGGGGGCACCTCCCTGAAATGACTTTTTTTCAGGTTGGGATCCCTGTGTGATGGACTACAATCTCAATACAAATTAGTAAATTGAAGATTGTAGTCTATCCCAGGAGCGAGCTTGGAGCGGTGGCTACTTTACAACACACACAGGGACCATGGGGAACAACAGTAGCCCCCCTCCAGAAGGAAGGACAGTGTCAGCACCAACTCAGAGATGATTTCCAGGTTGTTGAGCAGTCAAGCGGTAACCCAACAAAATCCGTCTGACAGCACTCTCTTCGTCATAGCACACTTGTACAGCTAGCTGTATGAAAAACCAGCCCTAGAGTCACACTCTCCTGTCCTAACGTGATTCTCTCAGCGGAAATTCTCTATGATGGAATCACTGGCAGCCCGCTGGAATAACTACCGTAGTTTGTCAGGGAGCCAATCATAACAAAGGGGCTGAAAAACCAGAGACGGAGTGAGACACTGAAGTCAAATAACAAGAATATAAACTGAAGTCTGTGTGGAAAAACATTGTGTGCTGCATAAAGAGTGCATCATATAAATTTGCATGGTGTTAACCACTTGCTGCCCGGAGCAATTTCTTACTATTCGCGCACACTTGATAAAATCTGAATTTTTGGCTAGAAAACAGCTTCAAACCCCCAAATAATGATATATGTTCTGAAAGCAGAGGCCCTGTAGAAAAAAAAAATGCATGTTGCATTTTTTTATGTTACGCGGTATGGGCAGAAATGTTTATCAAACCAGTATTTTTAGGATACAATACACTAAAATGAAATTTAGTGCACAGAAACATAATATAATACCCAATTTGTTGGTAAAATATAAAAGACAGGGTCACGTCGGGTACATAGATACCATACATGTCAAGCTTTAAAATTGCGTGTGTCTGTGAAACCACAAAAAGTTACAATACCCAAAATTTCCCATAGAGGACACTTTAAATGCTTTAACTGCTCATCAGTTTAGTTGTAACAGTGATTGATGGCTCTAGAATGATTGCTCTCACTCCGACGCTCGCGGTGATATGTAACATGTGTGACGCCTGTTTGCGAATGTATGTGCGTGCATGTGGGGGCCGGGGAACTTTAAAAATATTTTGCATTTTTGATTTTTTTCTATGTTACTTACATTTTTTTATATTTTAAACACTTTTCTTTTTTTTATACTAACTTTATTGCTATCACATAGGGGGCTAATAAACCCCTTTTAATAGCAGATAGGGACCCTACATGTGTATGTGTGTATAATTTTTTTAATTTAATTTAATTATTATTATAATATAATACATGTA